GGGATTTCGCCTAGGGCGTCAAATTGGCTAGAAACGGCCCTGCGTACGCACATCTGCACTTTGTTGTTTCTCATGAGAGAACTCGCCAGATAATTCAGTCAGTGAGCAAGTGAACAAAACACCGCGTTTGAGCGATGACTCATCTGAACGTCTCTGATTGGCCATTGCATTCATAAGCTCAACAGAATCGCGTGGGATTGGTTATAATGCAGCGCTGTACAAACGCTCTGGCTCAGCGCCAGCCAAAGCATGAACGCAGATTTTAATTTAAAAGCAACCTGATGCTGTGCCGCACTGAACGATCTAATCATACCGGTGTGATTGTATCAAATATAACAAATATTATTCGGCTATTTTTTGTCTTTTGGAAGCTGCATTCAAAATCCACTTGGCTCAGAAATCTGAAGGGGCACGCCACCTGTTTTAGTATTTAGTACTGTCCTGAAAAAAGCTGTTTCACATAACATGTTTACACTCAACAAGAGAAAATAACTGAATTTATGAATGAATGAGGCCAGGGGCGATTCTAGGATTAGCATTTTTTTTTCGAATTTTACTGTTAGCGTTTCTAGTACAAACCTTTTTCTATTAAATCATAAATCTTTAATCATTTCTGTGCATGACTGTATATGGTAGTTAATGCCACATGCACTGTAATATGTTTAATTGAAAGTTAAATTTTCAAATGAAAATAGCAACATCGTTTTATAAAGTATGCATTCATATGTGTTACGAGAAACCGAACAGTATTTATATCATATTTTACCTCTAATACACCACTATGTCCAACTGCTTTGAGCGCGCGCACGGCTTCCGGTGTGTGAGGTGTGTACGCGCTCTGGCATAGTTTACGTTAATGCATGTGTTGATATCCAGCCGAAGAGCAATCAGCCATAACTTCAGTTTTACATTTATTTAGTCATTTATCAGATGCTTTTATCCAAAGCGACTTACAAATGAGGACAGCAGAAGCAATCAATTGTAGTATTAAAACAACTAAAAACAGATCCAAAACTAAAAATCTAAAAGGTGTGCATTATAACCGAGAACTACATGAACAATTCACAGTTGGTTGTGTTACTATAAGTAATTTTCCTCAAATGCTATTGAAGTTAGAAAAGTGTATACCAATGTCGTATGTAACTTTAGAGACGGTCCCTAGATTTGCGAATATCGAGTGCCGGGAAATGACACCTCTGGCCATTCCGTTGGGTCGTTTGTAAAGTCACAGATACTGTACGGACAATACGGCTCAATTTTTCTATGTATCTTGCTCTGTTGAACGGCAAAAGTGACTTTACTAGGCTATACTGGATTTACACCATGCATCTCCTGTATGCGGGAAAGCCACGCCCCCAGCTATCACAAGACCCGACCAAATCCATGGTTGACACCCTCTCATTAGCATGTTGCGCAGAGGAAAAATAAATGCGGAACTTCATTCAGAAATAAATGAGTGATTAAAAGAAAACAGTTAGGATGAGTTTAGCATTTCCTTAAACATTTTCCATTTGTCCACTAATTTATTTTATTTATTTGCCTACTTTAATCACATGTTTAATTATTTATATATGTATTTAAACAAGAATACGTGTATTTATACACACATTTATTTATATATTTGCTTATTTATTTATTTTTAATTTCTGCAGGTTTGGTCCTCCATAAAAGTAATCTATACTTTCATTCTCGTAACTTCCTTCTCCTCTTATGAGTTTGCGGGTTGTGTAGACAAACAACATTCCTCTTCCACATTTTAGGAAACTGAAAGGAGTGTCATTGTCGAGAAAGAAAAAAAAAAGTTCTGTATTTAACAGAAACAAAGGGTGTGAAACTTTGCTGGATTGTTACTGACTCAAGGTGAGATTAACTCTTTCACATTCGATCTGTAAAACGTACATGCTAGTGTAAATGTAGGTAAAGAATAATTGTGTCGGTGGTGAAGTCCAATGAAAAGTGTAATCTTAATTTCAACAACATTTTAGCACACAGAGCAGGTGGATTATTTTTCCACACTTTTGTTCTCGTGAAGCTTTAACGCAGTTGATAAGCTAGTCAACAATGTGCTACTTGCTATAGCCTAACTTGTTGTGTGAGGAGGAACTATATGTTACAAATTTCTATCGTAATTATAACGACTAAGAAACACATTTGCATATATTTAAAGTGTGCCGTGTGCTCCTCTGGACCTTTTCAACAACATTTTAGCACACGGAGCAGGTGGATTATTTTTCCACACTTTTGTTCTCGTGAAGCTTTAACGCAGTCGATAAGCTAGTCAACAATGTGCTACTTGCTATAGCCTAACTTGTTGTGTGAGGAGGATTCTATCGTAATTATAACGACTAAGAAACACATTTGCATATATTTAAAGTGTGCCGTGTGCTCCTCTGGACCTTGCGTTTTTCCACTAGAGTTTATATATTTTATTAACATATTACTGACAGTGATGATACATCGTTACATCATTTTTTGATCAGTTGCAGGATGTCTCTGGCAGTGTCTCATGGCGAGGAGGTGACAGTGATCACCATCACCTCAAACCCCAACAGCAAATGGCCGATACCATGTCAGATCCTGGGCTCTTTGTGCCACAGTCCAGTGTGTGCTGTATCACAGCATGTGAAAGCGAAGATGATGGGCATCTATATGGCACTTGGGGTGAGATACACATGGAAACAACTAAAGGCTGAAATAAAACTACATTACTTTTGCCCATGATGTTTCTGGACAGTCTGCAGATTTCGACAGTCAGAGTTGACAGATCTCTCATAAAATAGCAGAATTTATGATGGGTACAGGCTCCTAGTTTTTTTTTTTTTTTTTTTTTTGTTAGCTTCAGACAATGATTCCATTCAGTCTGCAGATATCAGACGTGTTTGATATTTTGAGCAAGATCATTGTTTTTCTTTGTCTTGAGTTTCAATAAGGTGCATGTTTCTGCCTGAGTTTGTTGTGTTCGGAACGATGTAAAAGTTTGTTAGTGTGTGTTAGTGTACAGTATGAAGCCCAGGTTTTCTCTATGACCGTTTACAAAGTCGGCAAATCATGTTTGAAGCCTAATGTTTTCAAATCTGTTCATATTTTAAAAGAGGTGTAGTGTATTCCACCCATAACTCTATATTACGTAAATTACGATTAATTGAATGAAATATATTAATCAAATGATGGTCAAAAAAGTGTTTTTCTGCTGACTTGTCAAATGCATTGACATTGATCCGATGCGATTTTTATGTAGGCTACATTTGTACAAAATAGGTGGTTGCACTTCTTTTTAAATTGACAGTTTCGATTTGAGGTAACGATGTATGCATTTCATATAATCTTTGTCAGACTCTGTTCCATGTTTTGTCTGTGTCTTGCTCCCCAGGTGTTCCTTTCCCATGTGTAATTTGTCCCAGGTGTTCCCCATGATGGTTTATTGCTCCCAGGTGTGTCTCGTCATCCCCTCCTCCTGTGTGTATAAATAGTGTTCCCAGTCCCAAGTTCCCTGTCTGC